ATATATTTTTAAAATATATAAAAATTTAAGGAGAAATATATTTTAAAATCACACTATTAGAATTTCTCCTTTTTCTTGGTTTACGTTGCAGAAGTCAATCAGAAGTAGCAGAATATCAAAGCCAGAATTAAAGGCAAGTAGTGTCTATCAACAGATAAAGGTCATATTTTACCTGTATTTTCTCTTCTCATTTTTCTCTCAGATCTAAGATAAAAGGAACAGCTTCTTTCACAAGTAGAGATTGGGCCACCAAGAAGAAACAGTGAATACTTTAGTAAAAGGCCACCTCCCCCTATTGATAAGAAAACAAAGACACCTGGGTAATGTAATTTTCAAAGGGGAATGTGTGTGTGTGTGTGTGTGTGTGTGTGTGTGTGTGTGTGTGAGAGAGAGAGAGAGAGAGAGAGACAGACAGACAGACAGACAGACAGACAGACAGGGACAGAGACAGAGACACAGAGAGATAGAGAGAGAAAGAGACAGTGAGTGTGTCTGACGGGGCGCATTTTGCAGCTCATCCTTATTTTTTCTTTTCTTTGTAACTTCTAAGCCTCAGAAATCACTCTATTTTTATTCCTGGTAACCTGGAAGCAAAGTACTAGACATCTATCAATTCAAACTCATTTAATATGACCTTAGTGGTATTTTTTCAAACATATTTTTATTTTTTTTTTGGGGGGGGGGAAGCTCTTTTTCTTTTATAGAACATAAAAATAACAGCAAATAAGTGACTTCAGAGAGGCCCTGCCTCAAATACAATTTTGATGGCACACCCGATTTCTGGTGCAACTTTCTAGAGATCAGTTTGGCAATACACATCAAAAGCCTTACAAATGTAAACATCCTTTAACACAGCAGTTCCATCTTCTAGGCGTTTATCTTGTAGAAAGAACCTGAGATGTTCATAAAGCTTTATAAAGGTGTACAAAGAATATTAGATATGACAGATACATAATGTTAGATAAAATAGTGAAAATTTTGAAATAACCTTAATATTGAGTGATTTAGAATCGCCTTGGTACATGTGGTACAGCCAGAGAAGGGACTACTACCCTGCCATTTAAAAAAAATTACTCTGCAGAGGAATATTTAAACACACGAAAATATTTTTATGATAGTTCTAAGGGGAAAAAAGCAGGTCATAAAACTGTAAAATGTTTGCATCCCTGTTTGGTTAAAAAATAAAAAGAGAGGGAATCTGAATCCACACACACCCCCCTGAGAGAAAGACAGAATGTGTATAAACCATTCTGTTTATACAGAATGTATAATGCATACACTCATTCAGTGTATGTGTAAAACCACATTTTTTTTTATAGTGGTTATCTCTAAGTGGTGGGATTACAAAAAAAATATCTTTTCCTGTTTGTATTCTCTGCTTTCCAACGTTTCCTTGAGTGGCACATATTACCTCTGTAAGTTAAAGAAGGACAACACAAAGAAATAATCTTTATTTAGTCTTCAGTCTCACTGTCCTATTTCTCATATATCCCTTAAACCAAATTGGTACTTTTTGATATCCGTGAGCAAAGCTTCTAAGCATATATCGATATTCCACGTGAATACCTAAGAAACTGGTGACTTCTGGGCCTGGCTCCATATAAGCAGGTAAATCAGTGCCTGTGTCTACAGGCCTGACCTTTCTGGAAGTGGGCACCAGTGTGATATGGTTTGAAAGGTGTGGGGATGCTCCTCCTGGCCCCTCAAAGTTCTCCCCTTACAGCTCAGAGATTATGGCTGACATTCTACCACTTGAGAGCCATTCCTCAGGCTTATGGCTTTTCACCCTGTTAAAATGCAAATAACCCCGGAGAAGTACACATTAAACTTTACCTGTCACCTGGGTTAGATGAGTATACCGTATCCTTTTCTGAGAATAGGTTTTAACGGGGAAGACACAGGAATTTGGGTGGGGCAGGCAGAGAGAATAAAAAGCGAATGAATATATATGGTGTCTGAGGAATACTTAATATTCATAACAGCAATATTTTTATTTATGGTTTATGAGTCACTTACAAGTATATCATCACAGTTAATCTCAATTAAATCAAATAGAATGGCTCTGCCACCAAGGCGATCTAAGCAGACCAGAAACGGAAAAATATAGAAGACAAAATGTGCAGGATTTATAATTGTTCTACAGTCATTCCCAAAAGCCACAATCCCAATCAATTACGTGTCCTGCTTTAACTTGCCCTTTTTTTTATGACACCTCCTAAGCATGTGTGATACTGTCTAAATAATGACTGCATGTTGATAAAAGGGTTAGACCCAGTCAAGAAAATAAGACAACCTCTTACTTAATACACTATCAGTGTATAACAAAAAGACAGGACCACTACTTTCTAGGAATTTTTGTTCTAAAAGACATGGCCCACTAGAGACACACATGAAAGCATCAAGTGAAAAGCTTTAAAATGTTCATGAGCACGGGCCTTTTTATTAACCTACGGAAAATGGAGAAGGAAGGAAAGGACTAGAAAATGGCAATAAAAGAGGAAGGCAAAAGAATGAAGGGAGATCATACAGAATCGCTCCCTCTCTATAAAATATATCAAGAAAGTAAAGGACAGCCTAGTGCGGTGGTTAAAAACAGACTCTGGAGCCGACTTCTTGGGTTTGAATCCTGGCTCTGTCACCCACTTGCTGTGTGACTGTGTGCCTCAATTTCCTCATCTTAAAAATGGGTGTAATAATGGTATCTACCGCATAGGTTGCTATAAGGATTAAGTTGGGTCATATTTGTAACATTGCAAGGCACAAAGTAACTGCCTTAAAATGATGCTTAAACTCCACCATACACAAAAATAAACTCAAAATGTATTAAAGACCTAAATCTAAGACTGGATACCATAAAACTCTTAGAGGAAAACATAGGCAGAACACCCTCTGACATAAGTCGCAGCAATATCTTTTTCCATCCATTTCCTAGAGTAATGGAAATAAAAACAAAAATAAACAAATGGGATCTAATTAAACTCAAAAGCTTTTGCACAGCAAAGGAAACCTAAAGAAAACGAAAAGATAACCCACAGAATGGGAGAAAATATTTGCAAACGATGTGACCGACAAGGGATTCATCTCCAAAATTTACAAACAGCTCATGCGGCTCAATATCAAAAAAAGAAAAACACCCCAATCAAAAAATGGGCAGAAGACCTAAACAGACACTTCTCCAAATAAGATATACAGATGGCCAAGAGGCACATGAAAAGATGCTCAGCATCGCTAATTATTAGAGAAATGCAAATCAAAACTACAGTGACATATCATCTCACACCAGTCAGAACGGCCATCAACAAAAAGTCTACAAACAATAAATGCTGGAGAGGCTGTGGAGAAAAGGAAACCCTCCTACACTGTTGGTGGGAATGCCAACTGGTACAGTCACTATGGAGAAGAGCATGGAGGTTCCTTAAAAAACTGAAAACAGAGTTACCATATGATCCAGCAATCCCACTCCTGTGCATGTATCCAGAGAAAACCATGGTTCAAAAGGATACATGCACCCGAATGTTCACTGCAGCGCTGTTTACAATAGCCAAGACATGGAAGCAACCTAAATGTCCACTGACAGATGAATGGATAAGGAAGTTGTGGTACAGATACACAACGGAATATTACTCAGCCATTAAAAAGAATGAAATAATGCCATTTGCAGCAACATGGATGGACCTGGAGATTATCATACTTAGTGAAGTAAGTCAGACAGAGAAAGACAAATATCATATGATATCACTTACATGTGAAATCTAAAAAAAAAAAATGATACAAATGAACTTATTTACAAAGCAGAAACAGACTCACAGAATTAGAGAACTAATTTATGGTTACTGGGGGGATGGGTGGTGGAGAGAGATAGATCGGGAGGTTGGGGTTGACATGTACACACTGCTATACTGAAAGTAGATAACCAACAAGGACCTACTGTACAGCACAGGGAACTCTGCTCAGTATTCTGTAATAACCTACATGGGAAAAGAACTTGAAAAATAGACACGTGTATATGTAAAACTGAATCACTTTGCTGTACACCTGAAACTAACGCAGTGTTTTTTTTTCTTTTTTAGACACTAACACAGTTAATCAACTATACTCCAACATAAAATAAAAATTTTTTAAAAATGATGGTTAAACTCTCATACATACGCATGCACGACCAGAAGGAAATACGTTAAAATGTTAACAGATGTTAACCCCATGTGGCAGACGTATGACTTTTTAAATACCAATATGTGTGTGTGTGTATATATATATATATATATATATATATATATATACACACACACTTTTACAATCAAAGAAAGAGTTGTATCAATTAACAACACTAATCAGAGGAAAACAGTAGCTTGACAATTTAATATGCACTGTTACGTTTATAGGATGTCCCAATATTACACTTTCAGTTAACCAAGGCTATTCCTCTTGGTATTAATTATAAAAATATAGTTAATTATAAAAGATATAATATTTATTAATAATATCATTATAAAAATATAACTAATAAAACAGTGAAACTGGAAAATAAAAAGAATGAAGAGAGGTCAAGGATAAAAGAGGGATAAGAATAGTGAGGGGAAGGAAACAGAATGGGCTGAAGTTCCAACTTGCAGGCAGGGAGTATTTAATGAATTATATAGAGATAAAGAATTATAGATTCACAGTAATATATACTGAATTAGCATATAATAATTATATGATATATAATTATCAGCTTGACGAAGTGAACTGCTATAAGCAGAACTAAAGACTCAAAAATATTGCTAAAGTTAGCACTTGAGAATACATTGTAGGAAACAATTATGCATTAGCTGAAGGCTGGACAAAATGATCTAATTGGTCCTCCTCTTCTTAACCTTCTGAATTTACCCACTAAGTTATATTTCAGGATGATTTGTGCCTCCAGTGCATTCGGCAGAGACAAGTGTAATTCAACTCTTAATTCTTAGCCACCAAGATGCAGTGAAGAGGTTAAGCAATGAAAACTGACAATGACTTACTGGAAAGGAAGTGCTGGGATGCTGGGCCAAAGTCCCTGTGGGCTTCGTGCAGCTGCCTGATGCGGTCCTCAACAGCCACCTGTGAGGAAGAGGAGAAAAATTATGTTCTCTCATCATATATAATGAGGGGCAATTAAAACAATGTATCCTTTTTGGTAAGATCTTCTGGGCTTCTAAGGCTGGAACATTAAAACAACAATTTATAACCTTGTTTTAATATCCACTTACCACGTGTGGCCTCCGAGACCCATTTTTATCAAACCAAGGCCAAACAAAAAAGATTTGCTCTCTTGACAATGTTAAAATGGGATTTTCTAAGAACACTCTACTCACTGGTAGCCACAAATGAATTACTGCTCCAATTAGTACCATCAAAAATGCAAACTCTAGGGCTTCCCTGGTGGCGCAGTGGCTGAGAGTCCGCCTGCCGATGCAGGGGACACGGGTTCGTGCCCCGGTCCGGGAAGATCCCACATGCCACGGAGGGGCTGGGCCCATGAGCCACGGCCGCTGAGCCTGAGCGTCCGGAGCCTGTGCTCCGCAACGGGAGAGGCCACAAGAGTGATAGGCCCGCGTACAGCAAAAAAAAAAAAAAAAAAAGGCAAACTCCGGATCTTTCACCAAAAGGTTAGGTAGGGAGGTTGCCATTCGCCATTATACTAGGTGACTAAAGGATCTCAGAAATGATATACATTTTGTCTTAGTCTGTTGCTTTTGACATGTTTTTAAGAATCATATTGATTGATAATTAATGGATACCAAGTGATAATCATTGATAAATTAATAAGTAACCAAAAGTTGACTGATACTTAAGTATCAAAGAAACAGAGGCAAGGTTTTAATTTAGGGTAACTATAGGGTGGATGGTGAAAATAAAGAAATTTTCAGATTTCAGATTTTACTGGACTTGGAAATTAGTGGGACGCATACGTTTAGGTGGCAATGGAATAAAGATTGCCATTCTTTTTTTTCCTATTATGTTTTTCTATAATATATCGACACAGTGTCCTTTCAGCTCAGTGAATTCCATTTTGAGTGGGAGAAAAAGGGAAGAATTTTATGGGTGAAATGGTATATTCTGCCATCTGGCATACTGCCAATTCTATATTAATGGTGGCCCCAGGCACCCTAGCTTTGTAACTTTGGATCTTGATTTGGTTCTGAGCAGGCTATGCTAAACTAGAGGTTAGTCAGAGCTTGCCCAGAGCCATCAGAGCTCAAGCAGGTTCACTCTGTGGTGTGGATAACTCCCAAGAAGTAAAATACATCTTAAACTCATTGAAAAAGTGGCTCAGGTAGTCTGGTCTAACGCCAACAACTCTGACCTTCCCATATCAGTCAATTACCTAGCCTAGATCCAGAACAATCTTTTTTTTTTTTTTTTTTTTACACGTTCTCCTTAGCCTTGTCCATCTTTGCTTGGACCAACTAGTTGGAAAACCACGCAGAGTTTCAAACAAAAAATGGAGGGTTTGCTTCACTGCGATGCACAGAAAAACATGAGGGACATATGAAACCTGCTTTCCCAGCCTTACAGACCCTGCACTCTCAGTCAAACTCTACCTGCCTGTCCTGCGACATTCCATCCAATGTAACACTCCGGAGACTTGTTTGTGTTCTCCTTCCTTCTGGAATGCTCTTATCCCCCTTTTCCCCATTTAAGGCTGTTATATGTTTGCCTCCTCAGCATTCTCACAGCACACGGTTTATACTTGGAACACTTCTACCATAGCCATTGTTTTCGTCATATGGATATGGATATCTCCTGCAGTGGACTGGCAACTTCTTGATGGCGAGAACCGCTCCTTGCTTATTTGCCCTCTCCTCCCTCCCACAGGATGCACTGAACCCCGCATGTAGTAAGTGGTATAAGAAATATCTGTGTCATGACTAGTGGATCAAACCAGTGGATAAATGTGTGTGTTTATGCGTGTGTGTGCGCGCATGAGAAAGAGGAAAGAGAGAGAGGGAGAGAGAGAGATAGATAGGGAGAATTAATGAGAACGCTCACTGACATCAACTGCATGTTGTATGTCCCTGGGTAAATTATCCTAAACTTAACTTACCTTATCATTAAAATGGGACAACAATATTTCCTACCTCACGGTGTTATTGTGGGAATTAAATAAGATGATACATGTGTTTAGCCTAGTTTCTACCACATGCTAATTGCTCAATAAATGCTAGCAGCTGCTGTTATTGTTGCTATTATGGTTAATAAAGGGAGAGGAAGAGGTTACAGTGCGCAAGGCACCACATAACATACAAAAATGGCTAATATTTATTAAGCACCCTGTGCATGACAATATGAAGGAACGTTTAATCCTCACAATAACTCTGTAGTAGGAAATAACATTATCTCTCCACTTCACTGATGTAGAAACTGAAGGACGAGAGGATAAAAAAACCAAACAAACAAAATTTGCCTAAGCTTAAGCAGTTAGTAAACTGGCAGATTCAGGATTCACGCTCATTCAGTCTGGCTCTTGCTCTTAACTGCTACTCCAGAGAGTAAAGTTGAAAACAGAAGGTATTGTGTACATATTTAATATGCAGTTGGCCTTTTAATTTATTTTTGAATTAATTTATTGAAAGCAGACCTAACGTAGTGTACCTATCTATGAAACTCTTAGTCGTCCGTATATTTTATGATCCAGTGCAAGGTCAGTTCCTGGTCTTAAAGAATGTGATACCCTAAGACTGTAGAGAAGAGCTGTAGAAGGACACATGCAAATGAGTGGAATACGTAATTATTTCTAAATGCAGAATGGGTCATTTAATAAACAAATACAGAAGAGAGGAATGTGAAAGTTTGGGGATGGGGAGGCCATATGGGAATGGACACTGAGGAGAAATCTTTGCACATATGAGAGGGAAATCCCCAAGGGAACACGTGGATGGCAAAGGAGCATGAACGTGCCACAGGCCATTTCCTCTGGAGATAGCGTTAGTGGCTTCATAGGGACCACGTGGCTACAGGATCACAGACCATTATAAGCCCCTGATCTGAAGGTTGCTTCCTTCTTATACAGGGAGGGCCATGGTGGTAGTTTCCAGTGTACACCCAATTGTCAAGAATTTAAAATTAGATAAAAGTGAATCTCCATCCCTATAACTCGAACTTAAGAAAATGTACGATAGTGAGACACAAATTAAAGACGCATCATGTAATGAAATAAAATATTCAGGAAAGAGTCTTAACTAAAGAATTAAGCAGAGAATATTTCTTTTCACAAATTATCTTTGGGGGAAGGTATGGCATGGATTGAATGCACAGAATAAATAAAGAAATAATTTTAAGAAAGGAAAACTTGGGGCTTCCCTGGTGGCGCAGTGGCAAAAAAAAGAAAGGAAAACTTGAAGGCACACAAGATCCTCACAAACTGTAGCTACTTGAGAACAAAGCACTTTACTCTCGTGAGCAATGAGGCAAGGAAATGAAATTTGATGACCTCTTGGAACAATAACCTCCATGCATTAGACCTTACTAACTGGATTTTTTTTTAGCCAATATAAAACACTATATGCGAACTAGGAAGCAAAAGCCAGAAATTTTATCCCATTACCTTGCATTCTGGCACAGTTCATTCTTTACTCGGTTAATTGTTTGTTCCCTTTTTAAGTATATGTTAATATGGAAAGAGATATGCAATAAATGAATGCTACAGTCTTGATCTCTGGAAGCATTAACGGGTTGGAGGTGAGGAATGGAAACAACCTAAGGAAGATCTTGGGGTAGCAGAACACTGGTCTCAGAGAGGAGAGGGAGATGCAGTTAGCTAGGTACGCTGCAAGCAGATGACGCAAAACAAGACATTGCAGACACTGAGGCTCAAGATTTACCCTGTAGGCAAAGGGAACCACTGAAGACTTCCGTGAGGGGACTCATGATTTGAGAGGGAAGTTGAAGCTTAGGGAGATGAATCTGTCAGTGTAACACATTCAAGAGGGACCTGGAGGCCGACACCAGTTAGAGGCTGTTGCAACTGACTAGACTTGGGGTTATATGTGTTGGAATGAAGACTGTGTCGCCTGGAACGGAAAAGATGGTAGAGACTGGGAGGTATTATTTTAAAGTAAGGAAAAACTAATCACTTTGGTGTTGGAGTGTAATTTTTGTAGAAGCAAATAAAACCTCAGGATTTCCAGTGTGGAAGACCAGGAGACTGAGGATACTGTTGATGGAAACACTAATAATTAGACAGGGGAGGAATGGCAAATGGGCAGATGACTTCATTTGGAACATGATGAATTTGACCTAACAGTGAAACATGTAACTGGAGATGTCATGTATAGCCAGTTAGAGAGGAGCAATCTGTCCCAGTCATTAAAGGAAGGAAAGGGAAGTGAGACTGAAGAGGGTAGGACTGAGCATTAGAAAGTGAGTGGAGAAGGAAGAACCAAAGGAGTCTAAACAATTATCTAAAGAGACAGGAAGAACCCAACTTCCCCCAAATTAATAGGCCATACCTCTGTTTCTTTCCATAAAAAGAAATACAATTATAACGTCCGTTTGGAAGCACACATCTTGGGTCTACTATTAGATCGTAGATCAAGAAGGTTTAGAACTGGAAGAAGCCTTATCTATTGATACACAAGGGTCTATCCTTTAGAACTATCCCAGATGGACAAAAAACTGCCATCTGCTCCATGAGTACTCAAGATCTAGTTTGCAGCATTTCTTCAGAAAAAGCATGTCAGGGGGGAAAAAAAGTCTCTCTTTTTTTTTTTTTTTTTTTTTAACAACAACAACAAAAAACACAGGGCTTCCCTGGTGGCGCAGTGGCTGAGAGTCCGCCTGCCGATGCAGGGGACACGGGTTCGTGCCCCGGGCCGGG